AGATGTGAAAGAGAGATTTATTATCGTGCGTAATGGTAAACAGTAAACAAATAATTAATTAATGTGGCTGGGATCATAATGAATCAATCAAATTTGGAGGGTCCAGGTTAAAATCCTAGATCCCCTGGTGCAGGTTAAGATTCCCCTTATGAACGTGATTAGTCCGGAGCGTAAGCGAAGGACCCTTTCGTTACACTTGTGCTCCGGATTTAACAACGGTTTCCGAAACCGTTCCCTAGTACGTAGAAAACTTTAAGAACATGTTTTATCTGACATCGTTAAATTTAATTATACTTATTATCATTGATCTTATGAAATTGCATGACTCTAACCTTTAAATCATGACCTTTGTACTAGTAATATTTTAACAAAGAGAATTCGTAATAATTATAATGGGTTGTAATTATATCAGTATCTTATTTCTCCAATTACTTCTAAAAATGAGGTATCTCACCTTTCATAGCGCCCGAAGTTTTGGGAACTTGCATCAGGAATTCCATCATTTTAACGACAGATCTACAGCTTATTTTAAAGGTGAGCGTCCTTGGGATCATTCAAAATACTCCACAGTTATGTTGATTTAATAATGCATGTTGGGACCCAGATCCTTCTGGAAGACTAACTGCCAAAGAAGTTTCTTCGATTATTCAGAGTTGGATTTATTATATTGTTTGAAGTATTATAAAGCAGATAATCCATTGGATATTAAACAAAATGTGTAGCTTAATTCATGAAAATATTGATGAAATAATTGGAGATTGATGATATCCAATTCAGGAATGATACTGTAGATTTTTGGAAAGCGGATAGCTTTAGCAAATGTACAAGTTGAGTGATACGAATCTTATTAACTATCGGTATGTATTTAGGAAATACATTTTTTATTTTCAAAATAAAATTTTTTTAAATATTTGGTTCTTTTTTTTTTAACATAGATAATATATAACAAAGGATTATGATTTTATATTAAGAATATAAGTTATATTAAATTTTATTTTTTATTTATAAGATCTTTCGATCTATATGCTATTACAATTATTTAATAAAGATATAAGAAAACGGCATTCTTTTAATATAAAAGAATACTAAGAAACTATGTGTTTATTAGAAGTATGAATTTTGATAAATTAAGCCGATTATGCTAAAGTATAAATTTTAAATTTATAAATTTCTTTTTAGCATAGGAAAAATATTAAGTTTCCTGAAGTTTCAACAAACGTCGAAATCGAAACTAGTATTTGTCGTTTTGCCAAATTATTTTATTTAAGGCAAAACTGTGAAAGTAATCAAAATGAGATATTCAATTACTCCCTTAAAATCAAATTCCCTTCTAGGTAGAATTTTTAATACATCCTGATGAAAATCCTGATTTATGTTCCCGTAATTAAGGTTTCTCATGACATTTCTTAATGGGAAGCATAAACTTCGATGAATAGATATTATAAAAAAATAAATATTAATTAAAATTATTTTCCACGAACCATAAGTAAATGTAAATAAAAAGTTTATGGTAAATAAATAATTTTAATTTATTACATGAAAGTTTAATGATACAATCAAATCAATATCAATATCAAAATCGTCGAATTCCAAAACCCGACTTTTGCCAAAATTGGATTAAACAAACAAGAATAAAGTAAAAACTTTATAATGAATATTTCAATCTCTAATATAAAATCTGACAAAGACTCCGATTTTGAGGAACTTGCATATGCACGTAATGTAACTTATATTATCAAATTTTTCTTTTCTCTTGAAGTTCATAATCCATAAGTTGAGAGGATGGTTCTACCTGACGAAATTCTAGGTTTGTATTTATGATAACAACTTAAATTACAATCATAACGACTTTATTTAATAAGTGCCCGGTGAATTTTGATACCCACTGTACTTCAATTTCAATTTTTTTTTTAAAAAAAAAAAAAAATCCATCTAAAACTAAATACGTGATTTATCATTTATCTTTATAGCGTCCCATTGGCAAAATAATAAAAAGAAACGACATTCAAAATTCCAAGTTTGATTCTATTAATTTTAACACAATTTTAATTTATTCTATTTTTACTTTTATTTTTTTTCATTCCAACCTTCTAGACTTTTCACCACCATCAATTCCTTCAACGCTTATTAACTTAACACGATTGCCAATTTAACTATGCTTTTGTAATTTTAGATTTCACATTAGAAAAAAAATATATTTTTTTTAATCTATTAGGCCGGGCAAAAAAATTTTTTAGATTCTCGTGACCCGACCGCCTCAATTTTTACAAAAACTCGAATTTTTTTTTTTATAGTAAAAATTTTTATCACGTGACTTTGTATAATAAAAAATCGTAATAGTATATACTTTGTCAGAAACTGTCATATAACGCTCACTACAATAATAGTAATATCCTTCATTTACCTTACTATTTACAAAACATAATATAAAATACATATAAATATATAAAAAAAAAAAAAAAAAACCGGGTGACCGTGTCAATTTTAAAATTTTATGTCACGAGAATCTAAAAAATTTTTTTTGCCCGGCCTTACAAGATCGCGTTAAAATTAGACAAAAATTCGAAGTGGTTGATATTTATGTAAATCCTATATAAAAGAATAATAAAAAAAAAAAAATTAATTAGTATTATTAATGTTGCTTGTTCTTATTAATCTTATTAACCTTACATTTTTGAAAAATTAAATTAATGAATATAGGATGATCAAATATTTATATTTAAACTTTCTATATATTTAAAAAATATATTTAATATTAATTATACTTTGATTTTTCAAAACATACCTGAATATACTGATGCATCCTCATAATCTGCTTGCTCGTTTATGTTTTTCGGTCTTCTCATGGAACCTTTTCTTCTGAACTTTAGATTACAGTCATTACACACATAGGCTTTTCATCGGTATATTTCTTTCGTGCTCATTTAAATGAATTTTTTGCGTGAACTTTTGTTCACAAAGATTACAATCATAAGGTTTAATACCTTCGTGACTTCTCTGATGAACGACCAAGTTGTTTTCTGAGAAAATCCTTTGCCGCATCCGGGATAAACACGTGGTTTTTCACCAGTGTGTTTTCTTTCGTGAATTTTTAATTGATGATTATCCCGAAAATTTTTCAAACAACCAGAATGTTGACAAAGAAACTTATTTATCTTAAAGTAGAAAAAAAATTATATTATTAGTATTAATTTACAAAAAAAAAAAAAAAAAAAAAAAAAAATGCAGTGATGAATTTTGTATTTACCCCTCTATTAGCTTTACGATGTGTTTTATCAAGAATTGATTCAGACTTATCATTAATATGGTTACATATTACCTTCGTTTGAGACAGAGGAGACTCTAAATTATATTATTATTATTATTTTTTTGATTTTTTGTTTTTTGTTAAAAAGATAATGTTATTATATAATACATAATTTAAACATCTGAACCAAGACGTTGACAAAAGATATTACTGTCTCATCAATTTTACTAACTTATATTGATCATGCTAACATTTGAAAAGACGTTGTTTAAGTATTAAAATAAAAAACCTGGAAATTCGCGGTTCGGAATATCTGTATTTAAATCTGTGTTATAAAACCAAATAAATTAATTGATATCCGTTAAGATGCTAATAATTTAGAATAATTTTAACTTGATTGATGATAGAATATAAAAGCTAAACCTGGAAATTCGTCATTAGATTCATGGTATCCATTAAAAAGCATATCCCAGCTAATATCGGACGCATGAAGTTTCTCCATTAGCTTTGTGTTTAAGTTTACGATGAAATTGAAAATTGAACCTTGTGACCAACAACGTACAATAATATATCCATTTCGTTCCCAAATTTTTTCTTATTGTTACACAAAAAATTTATCACAGTGCGCGACACTTAAAGACTGAAATCACGTGATTTGTCCGATCCCGAAATTTTAAAAAATCACGTGACTATTATAAGCCATGTCACGTGATCTATATAAATCACGTGGTAAATATA